TTAACAGGATATTCCTTAGTCAGTTCCAGTTGCAGGCGACTCCAAAGCAGAATCCTTGGAGCCGTTCTTGTTGTTGTCGTTGTTGTTGTTGATGTGCAGCAAACATTTGAATTCGTTCCATTCGCAATGATGACACACTCGTTGCATAAGCAAATATTCCGAGGCCTTATCCTCCCTCCATCATGCCGCACGCCCACGCCCAGACACACATCCTGCCAGACGCAGTTGTCGTTGGGTGCTGTCATAGCAACGATGTTGAATTTGACAAGCCCGCAGACAGGACAACTGACAGGACATTGTCGACTGGTCGCAGCTGATAAGCTTCAAGGCATTTCAGCTGCAAAGCAGTCGAGAGATTAGATATTACTGGATTAGATTGGATTAGTTAGTCGATTATCATCAAGTTTCCTTTGAACTTTGCCAGCGCTATAACACGTTGCGAATTATAAGCATTTATGCTTGTTTTATGGCCTCAACTAAATGTGAAGAACCTTTTTGCTTTGCAGGTATGCAAGGGTCTGGGCATCATCTGTGAAATGGAGTACTTCGGCCTGGAGCCGTGGACGCCCAACCAGAAGGAGTCCCGCACCCGACAATGGTATAACCTAAGGAATCGCCTGCACGGCGACAGCGGCAGCAGCGGCAGCGGCGTTCAGCTGATGCTGGCGATGCGCGTCAAGTTCTGGGTGCCGGTGCACAGCATTTTGCAGGAGAGCGTACGCAATTTGTTCTATATGCAGGCGCGCAGAGATCTGCTGGAGGCGCGACTGTGCGCCCACGACTGGAGCAATGCGGCCAAGCTGGCGGCGCTGCTCTGCCAGGCGGATGGGCTGCGCTTCAATGAGCAGGCGCTGCGCGCCGAGTGCCCGATGCGGATGCGCCGCGAGCTGGCCCAGCAGCAGCTGGCGCAGCAGCAGCAGCACAAGCTGGAACAGCAGCGCAAGGAGAAGGAGCATGTGCTCAGCTTCAAGAAGCGACGCCTCTCCAAGCAGAAGTCCGTGGAGCATATCGAGTGCTGTGCTCTCGCTGCGCCATCAGCGACAACGACGACGACAACCCTTTCCAGCCACAACAACTTGCAGCCATCGCCATCGGCGTCAGTTTCCGCATCCGCATCCGCATCCGCATCCTCCAGCTCGAGCAGCCCCAGCAACAGCAGCAGCAGCCACTCGGGCCTGGACGAGCGTCTGGCCAGCAATCCGTTGCGCATGTACGAGGAATATATCATTCTACCCAATGCCTGCGACAGCGAGCCCCCGTCGGACTTTCTGCGCCAGATTGCCATCGAGCACAGCAAGCTGGCCAAGCTGCCGATGCCGCCCAAGTCGGCCAAGTACTGGCTACTGCGCGAAATCCAGGAGCTCAGCGGCTACGGCGAGGAGCTCTTCAGCGGCGTCACCACCAACGAGAGCGCCACCCGCTGCGACATTGCAGTGGGCGCCCATGGCATTACCGTTATACGCGGGGACGAAAAAGAAAGGTGAGTTTCCGTAGCTTAAAACAAGTCAAAGTCAGCTTTTATGCTATGATTATTTCCACATTAGATATTCATTAGTTCAGAGCTTAAAGCGCAGTTAAAGCGCAGAAAAGCGCAAGCGCAAAGCTCTTTTCAAACGTATTAAGCTCAAGTTTCAGTTAAAAGCTTTGCAAGTGTATTAAAGCTTCAAGATGCGACTAGAAAAGCTCAACTGATCTTTCACAAGTTAGTTTAACTCTGTTCCAGTGCTTTTTCAATAGATATTTCTATCACAATCAAAAATAGTTCTGATAACATAGTTCTTAAAGCTTGTTGAACTCAACTCAACTCAAGGTGAGTTTCTGTAACTTAAAACAAGTCAAAGTCAGCTTTTATGCTATGATTATTTCCACATTAGATATTCATTAGTTCAGAGCTTAAAGCGCAGTTAAAGCGCAGAAAAGCGCAAGCGCAAAGCTCTCTCCAAACGTATTAAGCTCAAGTTTCAGTTAAAAGCTTTGCAAGTGTATTAAAGCTTCAAGATGCGACTAGAAAATCTCAACTGATCTTTCACAAATTTTGTTCAAGTGCTTTTTCGATAGATATTTCTATCACAATCAAAAAGAGTTCTGATAGCATAGTTCTTAAAGCTTGTTGAACTCAACTCAACTCAAGGTGAGTTTCCGTAGCTTAAAACAAGTCAAAGCCAGCTTTTATGCTATGATTATTTCCACATTAGATTATCATTAGTTCAGAGCTTTGTAAGCATATTAAAGCTTAATGTGCATTTAAAGCGCAGAAAAGCTCAAGCTTTGCAAGTGTATTAAAGCTTCAAGATGCGACTAGAAAAGCTCAACTGATCTTTCACAAATTAGTTCAAGTGCTTTTTCGATAGATATTTCCATCACAATCAAAAATAGTTCTGATAGCATAGTTCTTAAAGCTTGTTGAACTCAACTCAAGTTGTTTTAGATGATAAAATCTTTATTGAAATTGTTGTGGATTTGTCTGTTGCAGCATCCCGTTCAGTGCCATTGCCGCTGCCAAGTCATTGAGGCGCACGTTTAAGCTGGAGTATGTGGACGACCACAACGATCGCAAGGAGCTGGAGATCAAGCTGCCCAAGCAGCCGATTGCCGCGGGCCTCTATCGTTCGATAACGGAGCGACACGCGTTCTACGTGTGCGACAAGGTGCGCTGCGTGGTGACAAATCAGTTTACCCGCGATCTGAAGGGCACCATTGCGTCCATGTTCAAGGAGGACACGGAGCTGGGCAAGCGTTACGTATTCGATATACAGCACACGTGCCGCGAGGTGCACGATCAGGCGCGCCGCAAGCTGCACGAGCGCGGCTTCGATGTGGCCGCCATGGCGGCCATCGATGATGCCAGCGGCAGCTGTGAGCCCGGCCTGGATGTAGATGGCGGCGCTGGCGGTTGTGTTGGTGCCGGTTCCATGGCCGGCAAGATAGATTTGGCCATACGCGAGAAGGAGGCGCGTGAGGCGGCGATTGAGCGCTGCGTGGACAATCGCATCCACGAGGCCATGCAGTGCAAGATCTGCATGGATCGTGCGATCAACACGGTGTTCAATCCCTGCTGTCACGTGATTGCCTGTGCGCAGTGTGCGGCTAGGTGAGTCCTTATTAATTCCTAATTAATTCATCAACTAACTAATTAATTGACATGTGCTTTTCGCTCCAGGTGCAACAACTGCCCCAATTGCCGCGTGAAAATAACCAGCGTAGTCAAAATCTATTTGCCACCCGAACTGCGCACCAGCCAGACCCTGGCGAACAGCAGCTGCAGCAGCATCGTTGGTCCAGCCTTGGCGGATCACCAGCAGCAGCAGCTGGAGCAGCAGCTGGAGCAGCAGCTGGAGCAGCAGCCGGACAGCTCAACGCCGGCCACATCCTCGCCAGAGGCAGCCGCTGCGCCGCCTGGCGGAGCGCCAAAGGTGACAACGGCTGCCTAGAATTGGCTGTGCTCGCTGCTGTTCCGGCTGATGGAATGGGTCTGCGTGCCGATTGTCTGATCTGACCTTGCAGTCGTGATCCTGATCTCGTGTTGAATCTATGACCATATATATACATACATATATATATGTATACACTAATATACAATTTCGAGGGAACAAACCAAAAAATTTAGTGTTTAACATTGAAACACACACCTTAGCCCGTATACTCTCTGTATCTTTACTCAAGTATTTTATGGATATGAACCATGCGACGATAAAGTGCTATTTAACCCTAACTAAGACTTAACTACTTAGCCTCCTTAGCTCGTAATGCCCCATATACATACATACATACATACATACATACATATATATACATATAGCCTATACATAATTATAGCTGTAAAACTAATGCGAATGTACAACAGGGCCCTGTTCAGTCAAGAAAAACAAAAAAACAAAAAAAAAAAACAAAATATAGAAAAAGAAAATACAAGTTAACAAGTTAAAAAGTTAACAAGGAACAGCGGCTACCCAAGTCGGTTACTTACAACATTTTACTCTAGAACTAAACACATACATACATATATATGTCTATATATATATACGATGCGCAGCTCGAGATGTATTTATTATTATACTTATATATATAATGCAAATGCCTAAAACTCTTAGTATTTATTAACACTTTAACACTAACTTTGCCCAGCCCCAATTCTCATATGTGTCTATATATATATATATATATATAGATATCTGAAAAAGATGTGTATATATATATATAGTCGTTTATAGTTGATAGACAAGCGTACAATAACAACAACTAGTACTAAGTACCTGCTAACTGCAAAATGCGTTTCTCTGCTGCAGATATTAAACGTAGTCAATAATAAATGTTAACATGTTATATACCATATACAATCAACGTATTTATTTACTTTCACTTGATTTCACTTGATTTGATTTCGTTTCGGTTCTTATCAATGCCTCCACAATTGCCGCAAAGTATTATTTTACCCCAAGTTAGTTTTTAGAGAAATCCTGAGGGAACAATAATAATATAGTTGGACTAATTGGAATAGATTTTCAGGTAAATCGGTTTAGAATACAGTTAAAAACTATCGACAAATGCATTTGAGCAAGAGCATAATAGACTAGCTTGGGTTTCAACTGGTTGGATTACAGAAGATCTGATAGGGATTCATTTATTTTGTCGGCAGATTTGCAAATGTAGTCGAAACAGTTTCCAATTAGAAACAAATATTACAAATTTTTTTGGATACATAATTTTTTTATTTGTTTTTATTTCCTTGCGATTTTCTGTTGGAATTTTCTCTTCTCTTCGAATATCGTAAATAAAATATTTACGATAATAAGTTTCAAATGGAAAAGCTTTGCAAATGCAGTCGAAACACTTTCTAATTAGAACCGGAAATGACAAACATATCGAAGAATTAATTCACAATTTATTTTTATTTTATTTTTGCGATTTTCTGTTGGAATTTTCTCAACTGTTGAATATCGTAAATAAAATATTATTGATTTTAAGTTCTAAACGGAAAAGCTTTACAAATGCAGTCGAAACACTTTCTAATTAGATTTAATTGTCAATTTATTTTTGTTTCTTTTGCGATTTTCTGTTGTTGAAATGTTCTCTCAACTGTTTTGTTATGTTTCGAATATCGTAAATAAAATATACATGATCCTGAGTCTCATCAAACTGTCCCTCATGCGATCATCTCCCACTCTCATTGTAACCGATCCCACATTCTGACTTTGAATCCAACTGGAAGCTAATGGCGAGACTTTGCACGGCAATGGGGGCAACAGCTTGTAGCGGGCTTCCTCTGCGCCAAAGGAGGAGATATCACATTTAGTCAGCATCGATGGAGATTTGTGGATGTTGACTCACAAAATCGATCGACTATGGCGTACATCAGCTTGACAACGCTCAGTTTTGGCGAAAAGTGTTTGCCATGCAGCATCTGATGAAGTTTTCCCTGTAAGACAATATAATTGTTTTTCGCAAATGCACTTGGATTCTGGGAGACTTTAGAGAGCACAGCTAAATGGGGCTTAATGTGCAAAGTATCAAATTTAACCCGATTATGTGTTTGAGAGAATTCCTTTTTGGGTTTGAAGCGCTTCAGAAATTTTCTTGGAGTGAAACGGACACGATGCGTGCGGAACTTCAGAAAATATTTAAATGCGGAAGTGTGGGAACTTGTGCGATTTCTTAACTTGAATTTGCGTAAAATTGAACTGAAAGTCTTGGCTTCATTTGTTTTTCTCATGTTGTGCATATTATTTATGTGGTACTCATTTGACTCTGGAATTCTGAGAACTTTAACAATACGACTGATATCTAAATGGTTTCCAGTTACGCCCTTTTCGACTGCCTCTAAGTGCAGCAGCAAAGCTGTTGTAAATTTTTTGAAGAGGTTTACAAAATTCGTTGAATCACAATTATGAAAAACTTACCACTGAATAGCAATGTTAAAATCATAGGTTTTGTTCTCATTTCGCAGCAAGTTGAACAAATTTTGCTCTTGTTTGATTTTTTGACGTATAACGAACAAGTACTACAATATGTAAACTTTTAAGTTTCACTGGCCTGCTCACATTTTGAATAGCCTATTAAGTTGGCGCGCAATTTATCGAAGTCTGTGCCTATCGTTCAGCCACCACATCTGCTAAACTCGATATAGAGATGAGAGGGTGTACACACTGGTTATTTTCGATACCATCCGATTATATATATCGAAAATATATCGCCCACCGCAAAGCGCTTGTTTCAAAATTTTAAAAACATGACAATAAGAGCCAAATAAAACCTTGATTTATTCCAGCGAGCAGCATTTTGGCCTGATTCGTTAATGTGTTGGAAGAAAATAATATTTATTGTGCAATTGTCTAGCAATAAATAAAAGTGTTAATAATAATAATAATAAAAGTTAATTAAAATATTTGTAAATTTTTTCCTAAAATTGTTGTTATAGATTAGAGTGTCCACAGCATAGTTTGTGTCGGCTATTCAATTATGGTTATGGAGATTAACTTTAAGGGTAAGAGCTACATTTAAAAAATGCACTTCAAATTGACCGCGCAACAGAATGCTATTGTGCACACCATTACATAAATAAATCGATACTTTGAATTTATTAGGGGTGTTTCTGTGAGCGGACATTATCGAAAGGTATGGTATGATATCTCACTTATCGACGGGATATGAATACCATAGTTAATTGATTTCAAAAATATTAAATATAGCAATTTACCATGTCTAATATTTGCTTGAAATTTTAATGGAAGCTAATTGGAATATTATAATATATATACATATATATTTTTGATTTATTTTTAAATTGTCAACCTTATGTAGGGTTGAAATTGGTTAATTGCAGATATCGCGATAGTTGTGTTCGCATTCGATGTTGCTCGCAAAGCTATCGACACTTCTATATCGATAGTGTCATCGGTAAGTTGAGAGCTCTAGTTCGGCGTGTAAATCTAAATGTAAATATCGCTCGTCTGCGCCGAAACAGTGTAATAATAATTTTATATCCCCCGTTTAGAAGAATTTCTAAAAATATAACGTATACCGACATCAAGCTGACTGCAAAACACGCGCACGCTCTGGCAACCAATTCGCACAGCAGCAGCAACAAGCGACGGCCAGTGGTTGCGATAGTGGCCAACGTGAGTGCAAGGCTAATGCAAACAATTGAATAAGCGCTGCCGTCTGCTGCCTGCTGTTGGGAGCCACTCGAGTTCAGTGCAGGTTGGCGCCGCCATCGTTCGCCTTGCTGGCCAAATACAAATTGAAGTTAGTGAATTTTGCACGCGCTTACAGTTTCCTTGCTATAATTGCAACCAGCTGGTGGCGGTGGCCCCTGACACCGTTACCCGTTGCCCGTCTTGCCGACGTGGGGCTGGGGACTCCGCCATCGCTTTGATCGTGATCGTACGTGTGTGTGTGTACATATATATATATATATATATATATGTGCGTATGCGTGTGAGTGTGAGCAGAGACCACCGCAGTGACCATGAAGCGACGCGTTGCTCTCAATTTATTGGATGTTTACAATAAATACCTAAAAATGTTTAAATTGTACAATTGCAAAGCGAAAGCTTCACCTCTAAAGTCAACAGAATGACGACAATAACAGCAACAAAACCAACATAGTTACAACAATAATACCAACAACAATATTAACAGCAATACCAACAACAATAACAGCTCGCTCTATTTGCTCTGACAACAAAAACAACACACGAAACAGCTGAGAATACTTAACAAGCAGGCAGTCGCGCATTAAGTCGATCAACCATTTGTGCTCTTAAGCTTTTAAAGGCTGAAATTCAACGGGAAAAGCAATAAAGCTATAAGCAAAACGGCTAAAAGAAAAATAAAGCTAAAGCCAAAAAGCCAAAAAGCCACACCAAGTGCCTCTCTCCTAATGTGTTTAAGTGAATTTAAGCCGCTCTTTGACGTCACTTTTCGGCGGCGCCGTCTCTGGCCCTGCTTGAGCCAACCGCCTGCCCCTCGCCCAAGCGGGCCGCGCTTTTAATCGCGTCGCGCGCATCTTCCCAAATGCGTTTCGTGTCGTTTCTGTTTTTGTTTTACTTGCGCGCGCGCTCTTCTCTCTTCACTGCCCCTCAAGACGCGTGACTTGGGTTTTTTTGAGCTTGCAGCACACATGCACAAATGCATGTGTGTGTGTGTGTGTGTATGCGCGTGTGCGTGTGCGTGTACGTGTGTAGCAGCATTTAATTGGATCTGGATCCGGATTATTCAACCGCACAAAGGTATTTGAACAGTTCAAAGAACTACACAATTATGAACAACTTTCGACTTAATCAATCGTCGCTTGGCAGTGCATCAGCTCGCAGCGTCAGCAAATTGTAAATTCAATTAATTTAAATCAATTCGACATGACGTTCAGTTTAGTTCCATAGTTCTTCGGCTCTTGCAGTGCACATTGTGCCGCATTAGTTCTGCTCCAATGTCACTATGCATTCCAATGTCTCGACAAAGTCGTCCATTCACGACAAACTGTGCTAAACGATTTCCATAATGCCCCATATTTCCATATTGTCGCCCCATTCGATGAGCTTGTTAAATAGTTCAAACTGTTTAATAGTGCTTGTTCGCGAATTATCATAGCTTGAAAAGAAATTGAGATCAGATATTTTTGAAATTATGAAATCTTAAATGATTCTGTTTTCGAAAATAGTGAGAGTTGTCGATGTGTCTCTTCGAGCACCAGAAAGTCTAGTAAAATAACGTTTTTTTCGTTTTGCATTTTCTTTAAAATTCTTTTTATTTTTATACTTTGATTACCCTTCAAAGTAATAGATCTCTATTTGTATTTAGATTGTATTTACAGTGCTGGAAAATGAAGTTTTTTTTTCTGTGAACAACTTTAGAGTACTGCTTATTCTAACGGTAAATGAATTCCATTTTGTATGGATTTTTTTATATTCTGTTTCATCTAGCTTCTGAGTACGTTCTTTGAAGTCCACAAATCCGGAATCTGCACTTAATTTAACTTGCAGCCATAAAGTATTCCACAAGATTTCCGTGGGTTAAATCCTTGTCGTTTCATTAAAGTGATGAAACGAAATGAAATGAATGCGAAGCCGTTTAAACGAGTATTTAATGCGGTTGGTGCGCGGCGCGGAGCGCGTTTTAAAAAAACAGGAATCGACATGGAACATAAAAAACAAAATTATGATTTACACAATAATTAAATGTCAATTCATCTGGGTCTCGTCTCGTCTGCCGTTTCCCCCTTCTGTCGCCTCCTGGCCCTTCCGTTCCGCTGCGGTCGCTTCGGGTGAACTTTAAAAGCGACAACGGTTATTAATTCACCCTGGCTGGAAACGTTGGGAACGTTGGGAGCCTGGCGCTCGGCAGCCTGAGCTGTCCAGCTGTCCAAGAGATTGGGGTCCAGTTGCGACAGTCGTTAATGGAAAAAATGCGATGCGCTCTTCTCGTTTTGTTTTTGATACCCTAACAAAGGCTCTCAATAATTGGTTAATGCAGTTCGTAACGCATTTGAAACTTGATAATCTGCCTTATGAATTTATAAATCTCCGAGCAATATAGCATACGATTCTATATAGTCAAAGATCGGGACAATTTACTCGATATATTAACCTTTCGATATCCAAGGGTATTGCATATTCGTCGCGTTTCCTTTATCTTTCATCTTTTATTTCGCTTTTGTTTTTTCGAAGTCGAAAACATTTTATTTTTGTATAAAAAGTGTTGCGGGTCCAAAGGGTTTTCGGGGAAATTGCTGGGATTTTGGCGACGGGATGCGTGCCCATCGCCGACATCGAACGTCCTGCCATCAAATTGCAGGCACGAATTTTGTTTTGTTTTATTTATTTATTTTTTTTGTTGCTCTTATTTTCCTGCTGCCCGTCGCCCGCATTGCGTTCCTCGCTTCGTTTTCGTGCTTTTTTGTTTTGGTAGCTGCTGTTATTTTTGCCAGCCTTTTTATTTTGTTCGAGTTTATTGCGTGGAATGCTATTTAATAAATTCCATTTTATGCAACCTCCCCCTCCGGTGCCCACCCCTGCAGTTTTTGTTGCCGCCGCCGACGCTGTGTTGGCCAGAATTTATATGCAGTTTGTGTTATTCGTGTTGGCCAATGCAAATTTTGAAATTCAATTCTGCTATTCAAACGGCGAACGCAACAACAAATTGCCAAATGAAATAACTTTAAATACTTTAGGCTACCCTGTAATCGTTGCATTTGAACAGGTGTTGCCCAAATTAAGTTAGCCTTAGTAAAATATTGTTTTGTTATTGCATCAGAAAAGCTAAGAATTTGCTAATTTTGATATAGATACACTTCTAAATGAAATAAATATGAATGAAATATGCATGATAGAAGGGACTTGACGCAATTTAGTGTATTTGGTCGGACAGTCCCAATTTGGACACTCTTACTTGCTCTTGTTTTAATACATTTTTCTTACAAACAAAGTTTTATTTGCTATTGCGTTTAGTTTTCCATTTTAGCAGAAAGTCACTAAGAACTGGCACAAAAACGAACAATGAAGATTGCAAAGTTGAAGCACCTCAGTTCAGTGAAAAAAAATAAAATAGGAAGGGAAAAAAGTAAGAAAGAGTAAAGATGAGAAACAAATTCCCAAAAGCGTTAAAAGTTTTCAACAGCAACAACTTTTTGCGCAAGTTTCAGTAACTTTGTTTTTGTTCTAGCTGCTCTTCTATGGAACATCCGCCGTGTGCTCCTTTCCAAAGAACTAGTCGAGAGAATAACAAAAACAATGTCAAGAACAACTGCGATAAGCAATGAGAACTTGCGATTGTTGAGCGCGTTTCTTAAAGTTTGCGTACGACGCTTAAAGCCGTGTTTTCTATTTCACTTGTTTTAACTTCGTTCCTGGATGTGCCAGTGTGTGTGCGAGTGTATGTGTGTGTGTGTGCCATGCCCCAGCCGGAGGCAGGCACGTTGTATGCAACAAGGACACGAGAGCCATAAAAATGTTTGAGTGCAGCAAAAGTTTTTAAAACAACTGCAGCAGCAGCAGGACACGGCACAATAACAACAACAAGCACTCTTCAAGTGCTTGCCGAAGCGCGGCTCCCTTCAACAACAACGCCAGCAACAACAACAACAACAACAACAGCAACAACAACCTCTTAAAAGGTTGCTGTGCAAAAAAACAGGGTAGTTAACTTTGCTGTGCCGATAATGAAATACCCTCGAAAATATGCAAGATTTTAAAATAGTTCCAGAAATCTACTTAAATGAAATAAAGGCTTAAATGTGATTCAAAACTTGATTCGTGCTACATTTATATATATATATATAACTTAAATATAGGGTTTACTTATCTGAAGAGTTAGGCGAAAACATAAAAGATATGTTTTTGCAATTTAACGTTTTCAACAGTGAATGACTGGTCAGTCGTGTATACCCTGTTTGAGGCGCTTTTATCGTAATGGGGCATATTCTTTGGCTAGCAAAAGTTGGGTCCAACCCATTCCAATGGAACTTGGAACTGCATAGAATTCTAAAAAGTCGATAAAAAGAAAACTAAAATTATAATTGAAACATGGACAGCTTGCCGCACATCGATGACGATGGGGCCCAGCGAAGATTGCGCAAATTTGTTGTTTTTTTTTAGTGTTGTTTTTGTTGCCTATGTTTGCATTAAGTTTATGTAGCTGGGCGAAAGTTGTACATTTACAGTTTTACAAATGTTGGAAAATTCATTTCAGTTGTAAAATAAATAAATACAGCAACGTAATTAGCTGTTGCAGCATTACATGTTCTCCCTTTCTGGCTGCTTGGCACGTTTGTCCATTATATGCTCCATTTTTAATTAAATAAATTCATAGGTTTACCTCAATCAATTAGTTGTTAGTTGTGCATTTCCCTCATTTGCCGTGCAGGTTGGCAGGTTTATTGATTACCTGACTGATTTGTTGACCACGAAGAAGGAATCGAATGCCATAAACTAGTTGCCAATTTATGCTTTATGCTAAAATTCATTTCTCGTGAAGAACTTTCAGATAGTCACCAAGTTGGGCTTGCCTTAATTCTACTTCCTAGTCAGTAATTTCCGACTTCTAACTTACATTGCTTTACTTTATTAACAATTTTCTTACTTTCTTTTTTCCTATTTATTGTATTTTCTTTATTAATTTAGCAAATTAAGATTATTTTTAATTTCACTTGAGATCACTTTTTTCCTACTTACAACCTTCTGCTTAGATGTAGGCTCTAATAGCGTCACTGACAAAATTAGCTGTGAAAAGGGGCACAGCTGGCCGGACTGGCAAATAAAACACCTCCATCGGTCGGTGATGCTATTTAGAAAATTGTATCCTTTAACTAGGCTTTTAGAATATACTTATATTGTACAACCTTTTGAATAATGAGGAAGACACTCGTTTTGTCGACCATTAATAAATAAATAAATAAATAAATAAATAAATAAACGACTCTCGTTTTATTAGATTTAAGCAACTTATTTATTATTATTTTTTGCTGTGTTTCGTGAATTTGTTTAAACAGTTTGCAATTGCATTTGCATGTGTATATATAAGTATAAGACGTGTAGCCAATGTACATGCTCATGATCTTTCGTTAAGTCAATAATACTTGAATTTAGAGCGTTAAAAATAAAATTTGTTGCTCGTTATGCGAACGATTGCCGGCAACGATAACCTATTTCATCAGAGTGCCGATAACCCATATATATTGCGATGATCTGCGATCGTGATCTTTGCCATCGATGCGGGAAGCTTTTATTTATATTTCAAATGGGATTCGATGATTGTTCGGACGTTGCTTCGTGTTTCTGAGAGCTTGTTTTTTTTTTTTTTATTTTTCATGTTTCTTTATTTTCATTTTGCGCATTTATTTGATCAATATGTACTGCACACTCAGACGTATTTATGAATGACGTACGTGGCGTGAGCTTCGACTTTGATAACGCAAAAAGCAAAAGATTGCACGTAAATGCCGCCAGAATTGGGTAGGAAAGCCCGCAGCCCAAATAAACAAATAACAATCAATTCGGGCCTGTTAATACCTCTGTCCAGTCACGAAGATCTTGTTAGTGTTCGATTCAACAGAACTGTACCATGAAAATCCAGATTATACTGGCTATTAATAATATATAGTCCATTGACTCAACTGGGGCAAACTTTGGGTGGGAACCAGATTTGGATGGCGCTAATTCGCATGATTAAATCTACGCAAAACAAATCCCCAACATGCTAAGCAATTCTGTGCTGTTCTCATTTAGCAATCTCTTCT